CACACACACACACACACACACACACGCATATACCGACACACACATGCATACAGATGCACGCACACAAACAGCGGGGTTGCATCTCCTCACTCGTCCGCCGAGCGCGAAGGCAGGTTGCCAAGGAACTGCTGCGGCCCCTTGATCCCCGGCGGCTTGCGCCACGACGGGGGCCGCAGCACCTCCCAGCACCACGCCGCAAACAGCAGCCGCCGGTAGCCCACGAGCCACGCGGCCGCGGCGATCAGCAGGCAGCGGCCGAAGAAGAGTGCCGTGGCGAGGGGGTCCTGGCCGCCCATCATGGCGCGCAGGCGCTCGAAAATGCAGGCCAGGTCGTCGATCCGGTTTTGGACCTGGGGGGCGGCGCCAAGGTGTGCAGTCATTGATAAATTGTTGGTTCATTTGCGGCTTACATGTGTCGCTGTAATTGTGTGTGTGAATGTGTCTGTTTGAGTGAGTGTGTGTGTGTGTGTGCGCGCTCTCGAGTGTGTGAGCAGCACATAGTTGGCCCAGTTGGGCACAGCTGGGGCAAAATCAGATTGGGCAGACAACATATGATGAGTCTTGGATGAGACACCGCATGGCTGAACGTAGCAGAGTTCAAGGGTGCTGGACTCCTGGCGTTGGTCACATACAGAAATAATCGCACGCCTGGTCCTAGCTCCCTCAACCAGTGGCACACAAACCTCCCCCAAAAAGTCCTCAAAGCAAGTGCAACCCAGAAACGCGCCACGCCCACCTGCAGGGAGACGCGCAGCAGCTGCTCGTACCGCCGCTGCAGCGCCCTCAGCCTCCGCGGCCGGAACATCATCGCCGCGGCCGAGTCGCCCCCCTCCCCGTCCCCCGCGCCCCGCTCTGCACGGCCGCCCGCAACCCCCCTGCTGCTGCTGTAACCGCCGCTTGCTGACGAGGCGTCGTCCTCATCGTCCTCGTCATCGTACTCCTCGCCGGGTGCGTCTGCGGGCAGCAGGCCCACGGTGTCAAACAGCTCTCCCAGCTCAACCCCCAGGTACTCCACCAGGCCCTGCCATCATGTATATGATTCATTGGCAGAAACCAGTTGACGAGATTCACAAGAATTAGATGGTGGGCGTAATGACCCTGGTTGAAGGATCAAACCTTGTGAAGGTGATGTTGATTATGCTTGATATGCAAGCTGAAAGCCTGCTGGTGTTTGCATTCGGGCCGGAAGCAAAGGTGCCGCCGGTATTGCAGGTGCATGGATCCGCAGGGCTTGATGCATCGAGAGGCGGCAGCTGATGGGAGATCAGACGACGTGCTGATGTTTGCGCCTCACACCCGGGCGTCGAGCAGCGCAGGGTCGGCGGAGGGAGATGAGTCGTGAGCGCCTGGGGGGCAGAGGCCTCGATACCAGATGCATGCGCTCCCAGCAGACTTTCCCAAAGCCAACACCGGTGAATGAGCCGCACCTGGCGCAGCACGCGCCGCAGGGCGAAGGCGCTGCGCCAGAGCAGGAGGGCGAGGAGCGTCTCCCGTGGGTAGAATATGACGAACCACGCCACCACCACGCTCAGCAGGTTTTGCCTTGAGAGGGCAGTCAAGGATCGGGTGGGGATGGGCGGGGTGGGGTCGGCGGGGAGCAGCGGGGCAGAGCTGGGTTGGGGACCGTGGCGGGCTCTCAGGCACAGCGCTGCGATGGAATCGAGGTCACCATCTGGGCGGCCTGCGCAAAGCCTTTGCTAATAAGCCAAGGAAAGAATAGCGTCCTTTGCAGGGTTCGATTTTGTCTGGTCCATCCGTAACAACGCTGCGGGGCCTTGCACCACGTACGGCGCCACTCCCGACTTCCCATGTGCCGTGGCCCTGCGGCCGCCCTCACCGCGGCCTGCGCCAGGCCTTGAGCTCCCGCTGCCACGTGAGTAGGGAGCCCAGGAAGGAGAGCGCCTCCTTGAAGCGCGCGATGTTGTACCTGGCGCGGCCAGGGCGGGGCACAGCGCGGCACGGCATTTCGAAGTTTGCGCACACCTTGGGGCAGCTGCCGCGAACCGCCGGCTGCACCGACAGGCTCTCATGTGGATGATAGTGCGGTTGTAAGCTCTTTTAGTGGCCGACAACCGCTTGTAGTCTGGTCGTTCATGTTTAGTCAAGACGGTTGCCGAAGACACCCGGCCCCGCGAAGGGAGGCGTCCGCCCCACGGCCCCCCACCCACGCACCTGGCGCGCGCCAGCCGGAAGCGCTCCCGCCCCGTCTCCAGCACTTTCCACGCGACCGCCCGCGGCACCGGCGG